CAATGTATAGAAATGTTTGTTTTTATTCTATGAGGAGAAAAGATAAAGAATTTTTATTTTATTTGTCTAATTGTAAATTTTTATAGCCATTCCCATAAAAGACCTATTGACTTTTGACCATGGGAAAGACGCCGAGAGGAACCGATAGTCACATCTTACTTAGCTAAGTAAGCAACAAATACAACAATCTTTTTCAAAGAGAAATTATAATTAAAATGTACTTAAATATTTATGTACTGCTGTATCCATAGACAAAGGGAACGAAGTGAGCCGCTGTTTTTCTTATTAAATTTTCATGTTTTCTTATAAATAACAGAGAATCCCAACTCGGCACCCGCAGTTGGGGCGCGTAAGTACAAAATCTCGGTCTCTGCATGATTTAGAACAACTCTGAACCCTATATATAGTATATCAACTTGCATTCTTTCTGAAGAAGTTGCTTCTGAGACCATGAAAATGTCATTAATTAATTTTAATACTCTTTTTTACTTACCTATACTATAAAAAAATATGATAATATGATGAGAATATATGTCATTAAACTAAAATACAAACTGTTAAAAAAATATAGTCGCCAACTCTGATAGAGACAGTGTCTTAATTGATGATCAAGAAAATGTAGATACATTTCTGATCTTTGCTACCAGATGGGATAATCAGATGCATTATCAACTGTCGGCGTACTGGTAAATGTAATATCTGACATGTTTAGATTTCGCTAGTGTGTTTGAATCCTACAAGGCAAGAATCAGCCTTTCCATCTCTCAATGTATCGTATCTCAGGAATAATCTACGATGTAGAATAACATAACATAACATCTTATCATAAAATTAAGGTCATACAATAAACATGTTGGTGCTTTAGCCTAGCTAGATAGGCTAAGGCAACTTGCTTACTAGAATTAATAGCATGTACTTTTAGTTTGTACAAAAGTCTCTAAATTTCAAAGAAATAATATATAATATATATATATAATACGAACATTGACATCACAAATTGTCAGACTGAAACATACATAAATTCAAAATTAAATTGAAGTTTTTTGGTACATTCAAACTCACAACCTATAAGAGTAATAAATCATTAACCGTGGACAAAATCAATTAAACAAATACCTAAAAAATGACTAAAATATACCATATCGTATCCGCATAGAACCTACTTTGTTTCAACACAGTCGCTGTGTTGAAACAAAGTATCTTTTAGCTTGTAAAATATACTTCGTTTCAACATAGCGATGATAGTAGACTCGCGGCCCGTGTTGTCTGCGAGTATGCCTCGGTTTTCTTCTTTTAAAATTCTCAATTACCATTTTCGTGGTATTCCATTGCATAGAATATTTAAGTACATGACCGTTTCATTGGCAGAACTTGGGTCACAATGATAAAATTTGCTGAGTTTATGTAGTGAAGCGTGAGACTGGTTTAGTACTCAAACATATCAACAATTCCTGATATTTCAACAGTTATTCTACCTCTAAGAAATCCTAAAAAGCAACGGGTAGAAGTTTTGAACAACTTCGGTGAGGTCTAGAGGTTTTGGCACACCACCTTACTTATGATAGTCGCAGGTATATCCACAGTTCCTGATATTTCGGCAGTTATTCTACTTCTAGGAAATTTTAAAAAGCAACAGGGTTTAGTACATCGTCTTACTTCCGATGGTCGCGGTTTCGATTCCTCGCACGCTGCAAACATTTGTATTCATGAGTATGATTGTTTGTATACAGAATATATATATTTACATTTGTATCAGTTGTCTAGAAAAATAAAGTTAAATTCCACGCGGACGAAGTCGCGAGCAAATTTTATAGTATAAATATAAATCTCATTGATTCTCCCACGAAGAAAACGTCATCTTCTATTTCCGTGAGATTTATCAAAACAACCTACGATACAAAACGAAAACTTTTCTATAAAAAATACATTTTTAGATACAGTAGTTCATACTTTAATATTCCACTCAGTGTCTACTTTGAAGTTTAGATAGATTTCTAAATTAAAAACACATTTTTCGTCTATGATGTTCAATAAAAAAGCAGCCCTTGATCTTTGAAACTCGAAGTTATGTTTTATACCATCTAAAAGACTGACCTGTATAGATAAACATTGATAAGTAATTCTAAAGAATATGTTTTTTATAAAAAAAAAGGTATCTAAATCTCGGAACAAGCTTTTATCTATGCATATAAATAAAATTGGAGTGTCTGTTTGTAATATTGAAATAATCGTTTTTTACTACATTCATATAAATACGGTACATACACCAAAATAACATTTTTTTACAATTTTTGTCTATCCGTCTGTCTGACCGATTTTGACGGGACTTTTTTTGGAGGTATCTGATGTAATAATAAGTAACTTAGGGCTACTTTTATTTTAGAAAAATTAAATTAAATCGTAAATGTGTATATAAATGTACCGTGGTGCTCATGTATATAAATGTTTGTACCGGGCGAAGAACCGAACCAGTAACTGTCGGATGTGAGAGGGTGTGTTAAACCGCTAGACCATGGAGGCAGTTTATTGGCCATATTTATTTAGTTTCAGAGATTACTGTATTCCAATAAACAGACACTTTAAAGTTACTAGTAAAGACGTTTGTGGTAGTTCGGAAATCACTTTCTACTCACTTTGCGACTCACAGCCACTGCAAGTGGAAGAAAATTTAATCAAAACAACATCTTGAGTTTCAAACTGGTCAGTACAAAGCCTTTCGTACGTTTATTACTTTGATCAATGAACTATTATAGGAAATGGCTTCTTTTGATACGACTCCAGACCAGTCTTAAATTGGAACTAGACTGAAATGTGAAACACTCGATCCTAAATAAAATATAAAACAAAGTCGCTATCGCTGTCTGTCCTTATGTATGTTTAAGTCTTTAAAACTACGCAACGGATTTTGATAAAAAGAGGAAGGGTTATATATATAATACATGTACAATCTTACGAAGCCGGGGTGGGTAGCAAGTATATATATAAATTGCAATTATATATACGAGATGTAGTTGCGGAACATATAATATATCTAATTATCAAAACGTCTAAGTCATTAAAAAATCTATATCTATATATCTCTATCTACATAAAAAATGTTCAACATCAAACACATTTTTTTTGTTTTGTACTAAGTAATGATTACAAAACCCTAAGTCATTAAAAAAAAATTATATATCTATCTCTATCGTAGCGTACCATATATCCAATTTACTAAACTTCTTGCTAAATTATTAAAAAAATTAAATCTATATCTATATATCTATCTCTATCTATCTACATCTACATAAAAAATGTTCAATATCAAACAGATTTTTTTTGTTTTATACTAAGTAATGATTACAAAACGCTAAGTCATTAAAAAAATATATATCTATCTCTATCTATCTACATCTACATAGAAAATGTTCAACATCGAACACACTGTCGCAGCTTAAATTCTCTTAGATTTCACGAACGAAATATATAATACATGTACACCTGTACGAAGCCGGGTGGGTAGCTAGTATATATATAAATTGAAATTATATATACGAGATGTAGTTGCGTACCATATATCCAATAAACTAAACTTCTTGCTAAATTATTAAAAAAATTGAATCTATATCTATATATCTATCTCTATCTATCTACATCTACATATAAAATGTTCAACATCAAACACACTGTCGCAGCTTAAATTCTCTTAGATTTCACGAACTCGAGCACTACGTTATTGTCTACACTCATAATCTTGGAACAAAGCGAGAAGAAACAAGACTCTTGTTTACGGCTGAAGAAATTATGTTCTACGAAGTCAACACGAGTTTTATTAATATTCTAATATACATCTTAGGAAACTCTGCGGTTACACTCATTTTGTTTTACGAGTATACCAATGTATATATATTATAATACAAGTGTATGGTATAAAATATGGTAGGTCACGGTGATGGCAAACGAAGACTTTTAAGACAATTGGATTTATTTTCGACACATAAATTTTATAATGTTAATTAGAGATATGACGTGCGGTGTCGATCGCATCTAGGTGCAGACTGCGTGGCGTCTGTTGCGCCGGTTATAAGTTTTTTTGAAAACGACTACGACACCGCACGCAGAGACAATAACATAGACAAACATCATTTTAATTATTTTGTTTTTTAAGGCACAGAACGCGTCGCTTACACACCCCACCCCAGTGTTGAGCCTGGCTCAGCACTCATTATCCATCGAAATACGAACGACACGCGTCACCGGCCGTTTCAAAATGCCAGTCTTAGTTTTCAATTCTACGACCCTAACTCGACCATCCCTTCCTGGAAACACCTGCTGAACCACAGCTTTCAGCCAGAAATTACGAGGTGCATCAGGATCGACAATAAGTACAAAATCACCTACCTGTATCGGTGTCTGGTCGTACTGCCATTTACGCCTAGGTATTAGGTCAGGAAGCACTTCTCTGACCCACCGCTTCCAAAACATGTCAGCGAGCCTCTGCGCCTTACGCCACTGTTTACGTAGGTACAAATCAGAGTCATTAAATACACCAACAGTTGGCAAATTTGATGACGAACCCAACATAAAATGATTAGGAGTTAGAGACTCACTACTACCTACTTCTACCGATACATGTGACAAGGGTCGACTGTTGACAATATTCTCAACTTCCGTCAGGAGCGTGTTGAGTACTTCTTCACGTGGTGCACGTTCTTTTAAAATTACCCTAAGTGAAGTCTTGACACTCCTAATAAGTCGCTCCCATGCCCCACCCCAGTGGGGACTGGCAGGCGGGATGAAGGTCCATTCCACTCCATTATTAGCTGCTTCATTTGTTAGCCTATCAAAATCTACCTCATTTATAGACTTCTTCAGCTCAGCATCAGCGCCTCTCAAGTTTGTACCATTATCAGAGTACAGCATACGAGGCCAACCCCGTCTTGCTGCCATTCGACGAAGAGCCATAATGAGGGAGTCAGAGGTAAGTGATGATACCAGTTCTAAGTGGATTCCACGGACGGTCAAACAAGTAAATAAAACTCCATACCTTTTTCTCTATGTCTCCCCACAGTGACCTCCATGGGTCCAAACAAATCCAGACCACAGTGTGTGAAAGGACGCTGATGATGAGCCAGTCGTGCTTCAGGCAGCTCTCCCATTCTCGGTACCTGTGGTTTTGCTCTTTTTATTCTACAAAACATACATTTATATGCTACATGTTTTACGGTTGGACGTATTCTAATAATCCAATATTTCTGTTTCAGGTTGTTTACAACGGTTTCCTGGTTCCCGTGGGCTGTCTTCACATGGTTGTATCTAACAATTAATTGAGATACCTGACTACGCCCGTCCAAGATGATAGGTCTCTTCATTTCAGGTTCAACATCCGGTGCAGCATCTATGCGGCCGCCGACACGGAGAATCCCGTACTCATCCAGAAATGGAGATAACGTAAGTAACTTACTACCTTTTGACAAACAGTTACCATTTTTAATTGCAGCTATTTCATCACCGAATGACTGTTCTTGTGTATATTTTAGCAGCAATCGCTCAGCCCTCTTCATGACTGTGCAAACAGTCTCAATCTGCTTTCTACACTTGTATATAAATTTTAGAATACATGCCGTAGCCCTCACCAGTCGTAACCAGCATGAAAATCTTCCTGGGTCAGGTACAGGTAAGTTACAATCTTCATGTTGTATTATCATTACTCGTTCTAAACTCATTTCATTTATCTTATCGATTATATTCACCGGCCACGATGACTCATCGCTGTATAAGAATGACGGACCTCTAAACCATTCATTTTTAAAAAGAGAATCGTCGTAATTTTCTCTCGTAGCGAGATCAGCAACATTTAATTTTGTAGGTACATACCGCCACTCCTCAGGGCGGCTTAGCTCGTCTATTTCACCCAGCCGGTTTGCTATGTACGTTTTATAGCTACGTGTATTATTACATATCCAGTGTAGCACGGTACTAGAGTCGCACCAAAAATAACGCCTTACTGGATTTATTTTGTGTTCTCTGATTATTGTATCTGCCAACCTCGCAGCCAATAAAGCAGCTTGCAATTCCAAACGCGGCACGGTAGTATGACTCACGGGCGCGACACGGCACTTGCTAGCTATGAATGACATACATATATCTTTATTTACGTACCATCGCCAGTATGCGACTGCGCACATTGCTTTAGTCGACGCATCGCAACACAAGTGTAACTCTAAATTACTATATTCACTTCCAGCCAAAACCTGTTTCGTAGCGCCTGTCACTACGTCATTGCAGCGGGATGTCGTAGCGCAGCTATTAGCTACGCCAGTTTCGTAGCCGATAGCCCGTTCGGTTACGCTTGTAGATGTAAGAGAGGTGAGAGAGGTTATGTTTACCTGAACTGATGTGCTACGTTTTATCGCTGACTCGCTCCCACTCGTCGCTGCTTGATACCACCTCGGCAGACGGATATTTTTTATTTCACTCGTTAGTACATTGACCCACTGACACCATTTTTTATGTATGTCATCTGTTACTAAGTCGTCCCAGCTGATTCCAGCGCGCCAGGTATCTTGCAACATTATTTTACCTTGTATAGAAAATGGCGATAAGAATCCAAATACATCGAATATTGACATTATGACTCTGAGCATAACTCTTTTTGTTGGTCTATTCTTACCATTAATTATGTCATGTGGTATGCGCTTGAGAGACACATCGAACCCCAACTCGTCTTCGCGCGGGTACCATATCAATCCGAGCGTACGTTCACCTTCGCATTCTTGATCTATTTTGAACTTTACGGCCGTAGTACCTAAGGACTCCTTTGGAATACTATCCAATACGGCTGGACTGTTGCTAGTCCAATTACAAATATGAAAACCACCTGATTTGTGAATTTTACTAATATTACGTACCATTGTTATGGCGGCGGCCTCGTCTGGCAAACTGTCTATGTAGTCATCCATATAATGTTGATTACATATCGCTGCTACGGCGTTTGGCATCGATGACTCATACCTTAGTGCGTTTTTATTCTTAATAAATTGAGCTATGAACGGTGAACATTTCGCGCCAAATATTAATGACGTCATCACGTACGTTTTTTCATGTTCTGCAGGACTGCTTCTCCACAGAAATCTGAGTGCGTTCTGGTCTTCTTCTCTTACCTTTATCCTTAAAAACATATCTTTTATATCGCCGGTCACCGCTACTCTGTTCTCCCTAAATCTTACCATAATGCCGAATAGAGATGTAAGTAGGTCCGGCCCCTTCAGTAGATAGTCATTTAATGACAAACCATTTGTGCTAGCTGCGGCATCGAAGACCAGACGTAGTTTTTTTTTATTTGGGTTGTCTACCCCAAAATGTGGTAAGTACCATGTCCGTGGCGAGACACTGCAATCTTCCAACTCTCTGGCATAATCATTTTGTAATAAATGATTAACACGTTCGACATACCTGTTACCATATTCCGTATTTAACATAATTTTCTTTTCTATACCTTTTAATCTGCGTACAGCGTTAGGGAAGCTATTTGGCATCCTGCAGCTTTCATCTTTCCATGGTAGCCCAACCTCCCACCTGCCGTTGATGAGTGTAGCAGTTTGCTCCATCACTGTCAGGGCACGGATATCATCAGCATTCTCCCGTGGCTTACCTGACACTCCCATGGACTCGATGGTGAATGACCGTCGCACCTCGTCATAGATGTCTCGTAACATGCGCTCGCTCTCGTCGACTGGTAAGCTGTGTAACTCAGAGATAAGGAGGGTCGAGTGGGACGATTGTTTATGTTCCGGTATACCTAAACAACCATGTATACACCAACCTAAGGGAGTGCGTGTAGCGACGGGTTCATTCTTATTACCTAAACTAGTTTGCAAAGGAATTAACAAATGATAATTATCCTGCCCTAATAGTATTTCAGGTTTCAATTTTTTTATACACAATTCATTTTTAATTTTACGCAAATTTTTATACAAGTTGTAATTAACAGTAGATAAATCTTGTATAGGCAAATCTAAATTATTTATGGTACGAGCTTTTACAGTATACACATCATTATTATCATATGAATTTACAGAGAAAATATCAAAGGTTACAACAGTAGTGTTACATAAATTTACAGAATTATTCCATGCACCACACATACGTAATGTGTCGCTGGGGCCGCTCAGTCCCGCGCGGTTAGCGAGATCGGTAGCTATGAGCGACACAGTTGAACCGTCATCAAGTAAGGCGGTGGTATTAATAACACCGTATGGTCCACGAATTTTTACCGGCACTACTTTTAATAACACTTGTTGATTATTTACGTTAATATGGGTCACAGTTTCACTCACGGGTGGACATTCGTTCACTTGTTCGGCGGTGACGTTGCTAGTCCTGCACCCGGTGGGTACGGGGTAGTGCAGAAGCCGGTGGTGCGCTCCGCCGCAGCCATCTTTATCGCAGGCGGGCGCCGGACATGTTTCGCGCTCATGACTTGACAATAAACACTTGTAACAAAGATTGTTACGCTTAATGTATCGCCATCTATCTTTTCTTAGCGCTTTTTTAAACTGCGTACATTTTGTTAAATCGTGTCTTGAAACACGACAGTATTGACACTTATCATTCAGTACTAAAACAGAATGTGATCTGCTACTTATATTATTATCATAATTTTTATATTTATCGCTGCGTGCATTTATTAAGCATAAGTTAGATGTTGTGGAAATCTTTACTGCTTCTTGAGTTAGAAATTCGGATAATAATTCTAATCTAGATTTCTTTCTTTCTAGTAACAGTGTGTAACTATAATCTGACCACTTAGATACAAGAACAGTTGGCATCTTAGATAATAATAATGTAAATGCATCTATACCTTGTAAATATTCCTGGCGGCCGACGGCTCGTGTTGCTTCCACGAAATTCTGCACTTTCACAGCAAAGTACACTATGTCCTTTTGATATTCTTGTGACACTGGATGTAACTTTTTTAATTCTTGTATCAAGCGTGATATAATTATATCTGGATTACCGAACCTTAGTTCCAGTGTCGCCATTAATTTATCAGGAGTTACGGCGCTGATGAGTAAAGCTGATACCGCTTCCTTTGCGGCTCCACGTAGACATTTCCGTAAACGCCATAAATTTTCCTTCGGATTGAAGTTGCAGACTTCAGTCGATTCTTCATAGGCCTGTTTAAATTGCAGCCATTCCATGGGGTCCCCTGAGTAGTATGGCAAATCCTTCGGCGTGCTCAATCGAGACAATAGTTTAGCATTCGAGTTGCTATTCGCAGAGGCGGCGGCCATGTTCTTTAGAGCGCTTGCTAGCATCTGAACTGTAGTACCATTAGTGCCAGAATCTATTGCTGGCGGACACGTGTCACCCTGTTGAAAACCATGATCGTGGGCAAACTGTGTGTTTTCCAATTCTTGCTGGCTGTGCTCGACCCACCTCTCCACATTACTATTAATGTTGGTGCGATTATCCTCTAGGTCTGGACTGTATTCTGCTTCTAAATCAGCTAGGTCTGCTTCCAATTGTTTGTCAATTAATTCCATTTGAATTTTAGCTTTCTTCTGTGCAGCATCGAGTTCTAACTGCTTTTTACGTGCCAGTACAGATGAATACGAAGACTTCGTGGACTTTGCACGCTTCGTTGTAACGGGCGTCGACGGTTGGCATTCTTCTTTACAAGTACCCGCTTTTGAATTTGTGCTCATAACGGTCACCGTCTTCTCTTCTGTAGGCTTCATATTACTCGGCCGTGGCGTATCTTGATACTGTTCAGAACCAGGATGCTGCTCCGTCTGCATGCAGTCCTTATTGCGTGCAGTACTTCGGGTGCCTACCATTTTGTGCGCTGGTGGTGTGCGGTACATAAATCCGGCCGAATGACCAAATGTATGGTATAAAATATGGTAGGTCACGGTGATGGCAAACGAAGACTTTTAAGACAATTGGATTTATTTTCGACACATAAATTTTATAATGTTAATTAGAGATATGACGTGCGGTGTCGATCGCATCTAGGTGCAGACTGCGTGGCGTCTGTTGCGCCGGTTATAAGTTTTTTTGAAAACGACTACGACACCGCACGCAGAGACAATAACATAGACAAACATCATTTTAATTATTTTGTTTTTTAAGGCACAGAACGCGTCGCTTACAACAAGCATGTATACTCAAGTGGAGTTAAATTATTTGAAATAAAGTGAGAAATATTTATAGTTTACTAGCTGTGCCGGCAAACGTTGTTTTGCCTTAAAATAAAAAATAATAATATAGGGGTGGACTACCCCTAACGTTTAGACGGATGAAAAATAGATGTTGGCCGATTCTCAGACCTACTCAATACGCTCACAAAATTTCATAAGAATCGGTCAAGCCGTTTCGGAGGAGTATGGGAACGAAAACTGTGACACGAGAATTTTATATATAAGATTAAAAAAAAAATATTAATGTATAACGTTCTCTTAATAAAAAATGATGCCTAACAAATGGCCCAATTATTGTAGGGATTTCTTACATATATTTCTGGTTTTATATATACAACTAAAGATAAATAGTTTATATATATATATATATATATATATAAACACCTCTTTGGGCACTTTGTTGATCACGCCACAACCTAAACACTTGCTGATTCCACCTTTTGCACTGAATAACTTGACTCCTATTGCGTATATCTTAGGCGGTATGGCAACGTCGCATTCTATTTTGCGATGTGGCCATATATATTCGTCGATAGTACGATATACTCGACACTTTTTTTACTAATAATTCGTGACTGACTGGCTCCGAACGGCTAAATTTTTGGTATACACAAAGACTTTTTGGCTCTGAATATATTTCAAAAATCAATTAATTATGTTGATCACTTTATATACTCGTCCTTACTGCAATACTTACTTTCATCCGAATATATACAGATACCGTAACGGTCTATCAATTATGAATTTATTAATTTACTAATGTAGATATTTTATATTCGCAATGCTCCATACATAGTAACTCCACCGTTGCAGGGGGGAGCACCGTACACCGCACCCCGCGCACACAAACAGATATTTTTTGAATACACAAAGACTTTTTGGCTCTGTATATATATTTGAAAAATCAATTAATTGTGTTGATCACTTTATATACTGGTCCTTACTGCGATACTTATTTTAATCCGAATATATATAGATACCGTAACGGTCTATCAATTATGAATTTATTAATTTACTAATCTAGATATTTTATATTCGCAATGCTCCATACATGCAAGCTCCAGCAACGGTGGAGGCAGGGGGGAAGCAGGGGGGACCGTACACCGCACCCCGCGCACACAAACAAATTAGAATAAATTAAATTCATAAGATTATTTACATATTTCGACTGCCTCGGTGGTCACACCGCTTTACATCCGATGGTCGCGGGTTCGATTTCTCGCACGGTGCAAACATTTGTACTCATCGGTCATCGATTGTTTTCATCGGTCTGGGTGTTTTATATGTATATTATATATGTATTTACAAAATAAAAATATCTATTTATATCAGTTCAGTATCAGTCTGTGTTAATTGTCCAGGGCTATTTATTATATTTTTATAAACGGTTATCTTTTTCCATCGCACCGCTCGCTATCGACAGTGAATTCATAGAAATGTCACTCTAAAAACAAAAATAGTTTTGTGTTTTGTATTTCAAATACTAAATGCAAAATAGGTATTTTCAAAATACTTTTTCAAAATAAAGTACCTTTTGAATTTTTGTCTAAACCTCAGATATTTTATTTATTTTAGGTATATCAATCATTACATAGTGTAGTATAAAACAAAGTCGATGTCGCATCTAACAGTACATAAATAAAGAAAGAAGACTTTTTGGCTCTGATACCGTAACGGCCTATCAATTATGAATTTATTATACCTAATCTAGATATTTTATATTCGCAATGCTACATACATTGTAATATCCGCCTCCATTCATTGTAACGGTGGAGGGACTAAATAGTTGAATAAAACTGAATAAGCACTTGCTCCACTCTATAGGTACTGCGTCGTCGTCGTATGCTGTTCATTTTTTCACTCGTTTTGGCGCCAAGAGAGGGTCACATAGTCGTGGTCAAGTTAAGAACTTATAATTTAATTTTGATAACAATAGATACAAGTAAAAAGTAGGTATTATATTAATGTACGTAAGTACTGAACTTAAAAATATTTATTCTTTATTGTACATTTGAAAAACTTAACACTTAAGGACTTGTACATATACACGTACATACTGCCATTTTCTCTTAAAGACATCCAGAGAAGCACTATTTATCAAATACGCGGGGTGCACCGACCTTTGACCTTATAACAACTGATTCGCGCGTAACGAATTACATTGCTACTTTTTG